TCGATGCCTCGAGATCGCTTTTTATAAAGTTTATTTACGAAAATACAAAAAGTCAAAAATGTACTTTTACAAAATTATTACAATGTTATTATGATGTTAACAGTACAAAGGCTTAAATCTGACTGACTATAAAATGTGTTGAGAACAATAAAGTAAACTCTAGGTCTTCTAGGAAATTAGTAGCATCGTCGGGAGTATTCCTGGCATATCAGCAGGAACGGCTGATATAACTCCTCCCCCCTGAGATTCAACTTCGGGGAAGAATTCTTCACGGAAGTTGAATAGGATGAAGTTCGACTTCTGGTTGCTGAATACTTCTATTTCTGAGCTTCCTCCTCTTCAAGATGGTTTTCCAGAATGCGTAGACATCCAAGAGCAATATACATCCATATATTATCAGTGTCCAGGCACTGGGTATAAAAAAGTCTGCAGGTTTCTTGAAGTTGGGTTTGTTGTTGATAATGCTTGTCTTGATTTTACTTAACTCGTCCAGCTTAATTTTTTCTAGATGCAGACTGAAATTTGTTTCTGTGATGTCGTCTTTTGTGTCCAGGTTTAAATCCGGGAATATTATAGGTTGGCCCGCGACAATCGTTTCGAGTTCATTTTTGATGATTTGATGATTGATTTCGGCTTGATAGTTGACAGGAATATGAAGTAGGTAAGTTCCCGTTAATGTTTTCATTTGGATTTCTTCGTGGTATTCCATTTTGATAACTTCTGGTAGTGGCAGGATCAGTACCCATTGATTAGTCCGTTGGATTCGTTCGATACTTGGCTGATTGTGGAGTTCGGGCACATGTAGGGGCGTTTCTTCAATTGAACAGTTCAAGTCCACAGGGAACGGACCATTGAGGTCTTGCAAGTTGGTCTTCTCGCAGAGAAACTTTTTAGGAGTAATTTCAGTACAAATGTCGCCGAAAAGTGCAAAGTGCAATTCATTTTTTGCCAAATAAGGCTCCTTTCAAATGATAATCTTAAATTGACCATCAAAATATATCGGGATTGGAAAGAGACGACATAAATTAAATGACTCATAGTATGAGATTGGGAGTGATAAACCGAATGTAATCCAGTTGCCCACAGAATAACTGGAGATTTTGATTATTTTTTCAAAAGTTGGTATGTTATCTAGTCAAACTGGAATCACAAATTTTTCTTGGCCTAATCTTGACCTCAATAGTTTCAGTTCTCCAAAAATTTCCTTGGTTGTAATAATGCTAGAGTGAATTGTTCCAAGACGTGCAAAAATTATTGAATTTTCAACTTCTTGTCATATTGACAGAGTAACTTCGTAGCTGTTCATAATTTGAGATACTGTGTCTAGTATGAATTTATGCTGATCTGAATCGATTGTAGTGTGGTGAACAATTGCATATATGGTATTAATTTTATTATTCAGTAATTGTTCATTATGACAGACTTGCTGAACAATTTTATTGAACTTATCAATAAGAGATACTGACAGGGCATTATTGTGTGTGACACTGTTAGTCAATTCTCTTTGATATTTTGAAGCTCTCGAATTAGATTTTCGAAACGTTCGCCAACATTGGCGTCAAGGTTTCCAGTTATTGATTTGAATATCGACCCAATGCCATTTAATATGCCTCTTTTTCCTCGCTTTGTATGGGGAAATATATTCTGTAACTTTTGTTCTACCTGTCCCTGAACAAATTTTAATGTTCTGAAATAATTGGACAAATATGTAGTGATATTTAAATTTGAAGAAATGATTTCTGTTATACGTGAAATCGATAATTTTTCAATTTCAGAAATGATGGGATTCATATCATAATAATGAATGAGTGAAAAGTCATAGTCTTTTACTTTTGCTTCACCAATTTCCACGGGAAGTAGTCCTGGATTATCGTCGAGGTTACGTAGTTATGCTATCCTGAAGTCCAACCGTTACTTGCAGGAATCTGTAAATGAATAATACCTGCATGTATGTATGTAGTACCTGGAGAGATACATTTAGTTGCTAAATGAATATGGTTTGTGAAGGAGACGCTTCAAGTTATCGATATGTACTTTAGTGTGTTTATCAGTAGTAGCGGTCTTTTTGCTAGGATCACCTGCTGTTAGTGTACATGATTTTTGAAATTCATTTGCATTTTTCTGACGTATATTTTTCGTTGTCCAAGTTGACAGTCATTGAGATATCGTCTAGTTCGGGGTTTAAATTGGGGTAGCTAATATCTTGAATTGTCAGCGGTGAATTTGGATTAGCTTGTCTCGTAGGAGGTGTGTTTAAATTTTGATCTACAAAGGTAATTCTTTGATTCTGATAGTTGGAGGCTTCTCCAAGGATGTCATCGAGTTGTTCCCAAAAATCGTTAGTTTCCTTAGTATGAATTTCAATTCTGGAAAGAGCGTCAGCATTTGTATTGAGTTTGACTTTTTTATAGATAATTTTGAAATTATATTCGTCAAGTTTCATTTTCCACCTCATTAATTTTGAGGAGACGTTTTCCTTTAATGAATAAAGGTACTGGAGGGGTTTATGATCTGTTATAATATTGAAGGTCTGCCCATAGAGATAAGGTCTGAAATATTTGGTAGCCCACACTATAACTAACAATTCTTTTTCGGTAGTGCTGTAATTTCTTTCCGAATCATGTAAGGTTCGTGACGCATAAGCTACAGGCAAATCACTACCGATTGGACCCTGACTAAGAACTGCCCCTAAGGCTACATTGCTTGCGTCAGTTGTCAAATTGAACGGTCTTGTGAAGTATGGGTACTGAAGTATTGCGTTGGTAAGTAATGCCTTACAGTTTCCGAAACATGATACAAATTCGTCGTCGTGAACAATTAGCTGAGAAAGATGTCTGACTCCGATAGAAAGAGCCGTTTTTGAAAAAAAAAAATAGTCTTGTTTCGACACTCGATTTATACTGCCGTTGATAACCAAGCAGTTCTTCAAGCATCCAAAACTTGATCAACTGACCTGATCTGTATATCTCGCTTTTCTGGTTCGCTGATTACGAATCCATCATCAGAACTACCATGTTTTCAAATTGGCGTATAGCAGATCCAGTACCAAAACTGATAGAACTGTACAAGTATCTTTCTTTTCAAAAACGGCTCATTTATCAACGTCGACCAATAGTGCATTTTGCAAATACTGTTATCGTTGAGCCATACAGGGTGTAACAATTAGAAAGAATGCTCTAGGTTTAGAGTGTCTATAGTGATCATAATTAGTTGTTTTTATGGACACCATTAATTCAATCGCCAACAGGTTACTGTGATGTTAAAATTTCGTTGAATCACAAGATGCCGTACAACAACAAAAAGGGGGGCATAGCCGATGGACAAGTGTACTATTTATTTATCAGTTGAAATGGAAATTTAGGAAAAATCAAGCAAGACTGTGAAAAAAGTATCGATTCATCTCTAAAAACAAAAAAATTATACTTTCAAAGTTGCGTCCTGCAGAAATATTTTCGTTCGGCCTAAACACGACGTCTGGTCACAAATCGGTATCCAGTATTGCGGCTGGCATACTAACAGTCATACACGTACAGCGACAACCCCTGGTTGTGGCGACCAATCATTCTATGTCCAATTTGTTTTTTAGTTACTAACTTATAACTGAAATTACATAAAAAATGGTATCAAGTAGACTGACTCTACACTTCCTGAGCCTTCGTTGGAGGTATCAAAGAAAAGGGATGAGTTATCTCGTTTCAAAAGGCAAAATAGAATCGTAGGTAGGTTCACGATGAATCTTCGATCTCTGTATATCAAACTATATAAAGCAAATCTATCATATTTCTGTTTCCGAGGCATATGTAGGAATTATATTTCACTTATTGTGTCTAACAGGTGCAAAGTATCACTAAGATCAGCAGCTTCCTAATAATAGAAGCTCTTTCCCTAACATCAAATATGCAACATATCTGTATCAATTTTCGAAATCTACGACTACCAAAATGGTTGAAGTATTGAAATCGCGATAATATTCGAACTTCTGTTCACAGGTACTGAGTCAATCAACTTGACGAAATGTCCAGGGAACCATCAGAGACAGAGTAACACAAAATAAAAGTTAGACGAAATGGGTGCTACATTTAAGGATCATAAAACTCAGAACAACATATGTGTAGATATAAAAACAGTTAAGACTTAATATATAGTCGGCAGCGGACTCCACGACCATGCAGTTATTTCAAATTATTACCATTTACTTTTTCCGTTGTTACCGAGATCAGAAGCTTCTTAATGATATAACGTCATTGACTAATACTGAAAACGTGACATTTACGCCCGTATCGTCAATCGTCCCTACAATTGTAGGGCGCGTTTATGGCCTCCTTGATTGTCATACTCCTTTTTCTCCTTCAAAAATTTCTAGATTACACTTGTCCCGTGTCAGCGTCAGCGCTCTCCTATTGTGAATATATGTTTTCTTTTTAAATTTTAGGAAATTTCAGGATGATAAAACATGATATAACTCAAAAGCAAGCACAATTTGATGCAAATAGATGTTTGTGACATAACCTCAAAATAGAGTGCTGACACGGAGAAGTAGAAAACTATGACCATCAAGGAGGCCATAAAGGCGCCCTACAATTGTAGGGACGACTGACGATACGGCCCTTACCCCTACAAAATAAATTTCCGAAAATGAACAGGAGCCTCTGAAACGTCAAAAAGTTCAAGCGCTTTTTATTTATTTTTTTGTGTTTTTGCCTATAGCTTCTCCGCCAGTGGACAGATTTCCAAAAACTACAAAGCGTTTTCGTCCTTTTGTGACTTTGTGACCTACCGACCAACCGAGATAAATGAGTGACAGTTTTCCGTGATATACATGTCATATAACATCCAGAAAACATAATACCTCAATTTCGAAATGTTTCTCGCCAGTTTTGGCATGGGAAGTAAACATTTTTTCCACGTACCTTTGAATGAAAACAGTAAAAAGTTCCAACAATTTCTTGATTCAATCTGGATTTCATGACTTATTCGACCTTTAGCGACTGGCCTATACAAAATCGTACTCCGCAAGCTACGTTGCCGCGAGATGCAAGAAACATTTCGGTACCCAAAGCCAATCAAGTATATTCAAAAAGTTGTCTGTCGTCTGTCTTCAGCGAAACTTTCACTAGTGTGCGTTCCTTTTGCGATAACCAATGAATATACGTTTCTACGCGGTGTACTAACAACCACTCGATAGTTTGTATCACATATTGTTCAAGTAATTACCGACAAATAGGATACGAAGATGAAATCTGTAAGTAAATGTTATTAATCTTGTGTATAGTATTGGTGCCTGATTTCGGATTGCATAAACAGCGCTTTTGCTCGCCACTATCATATACAATCGCTTTCATCAGGTTTTATAATTATGAGATCCTAGTGAACTTATGAATTATTGAAATGAACACTTCTGGAAGAGTGCGTGGATGACCGTTCAAAGATGAATACACAGAAAGTTTTTTCATGTAAATCGGGAGCACACCTGTATGTATTACAAAGTGGCAAGTTATACATAAAACTTTGGTGATTTGAATACGGTGACACGTACGTCTAGACGTTGGCGTTGGCGCGAAATTCACGGTACATGTTCATCCATAAAAGTTCAAAATCTTGAAAATGAATCATCCGTATTGAAAGCAAATTCTGTATGGTGATGGTTGCATTTAACAAAATTGTCTCCGGGATTATATCCCCAGATGATACCGCTGCGGCGATCATTGATTTTGGGCGTGAGGATGCCTGCGTGTCGTGTTCACCCTATATACCTACAGGGTGTCCCAGAATATGTGAATCAAATTGCAATGGGAGATACCTTAGATAATGACCTCTCAATTGCGGTACAGACCTGACAAAAAAAACTTGTAACCTTTGCGTTAAAACAAAAAATCAGTTTTTTTGAAAAAGTATTACTTTCGACGACAGGTGTCGCGTTTAGGGTTTATTTTCATTTTTTTTTCACTATTATTATTAGCGAATGATTGAATCATGAAACTACAAACAGTTGTATTCTAAAAGTCACGTAATTTTGATATCGCAGCGCTATTATTAATTTTTTTTTCTGCATCAAAAAGTTTCTTGTAAGTTCGACTAACAGTGGTATAACAAAAATGTATGGGACTTGTTTGGAAAACCTCTCCGAAAAATAGCCCAGTTAATGAAGATTCGAAAATGGTACAAATCAGGTAATTTACCTCAACAGAGTAGGAGAATAAAAATTCTTAGAGTGCAAGGGCGAAATTGGTCAAATTTCAATTTTTAAATCATAATTGCCTGTACGTTCAAACCATTGCGTGAAACCTTAGAATCGATATCAAAAAGTTGTTTCAATGTCCGGTAGACTGAACAAAACACATGCTAGCTCGCTTAAGGTCCGCTAAAATTATTTGTGTTGTCGCACTTATTCCCAGAATTTAAGGAGGGGGGCAGGGACAGGCAGCGCAGGTAAAAACTGGATCGCGATAACAATACTGCCTCACTCTAGCGTTTTGTGTTATTAGTGATGTTGACGGAACGGGGCCCCCCGCGGCGGCGCGATGCTGATCTCACTCTCATCCTTTTTATTCAGTACGACGTTTGACGCTCTGTGCTACACCTGTGTTCTAATGTCTCCTGTGATTTAACTGTTACGATCTTGGCTCTACTGTAGATTTTGAACATTTTTTGCTCGTGATTCGGATTTGTTTGATGAATCTCAACGACTTGGCGCTACTGTGCAAATTGATTTTCTGCACATTATGGCTAATCGACGACCAGATGAACATTGTTACACGGCAAGCGAGTATGCTGACATGCATCTTGTTTATGGAGAAACAAGGCGTGTTAACACTAGAGGTGGAGCAAGTTATTCTGCCATCGAAGCTGCCTGGATTTACGCTGAGCGCTATCCGAACCGTCAGCACCCAGCTTATGGAGTACACAACGCTTACTCACAGGGTCGATTTCCTGGTGGTCCTGGTAGTGTAGGAAGACCTCGGAGACATAACGACGATGTTGTTGTAGAGCACGTAACAACGGATCCGTCGACGTCGCTGCGCGCTATTGAACGAAGAACTGGCATTCCAAGAGCATCGGCACACCGAATACTGCAAACGTTAAGATACCATCACGTGCAAATAAAGAGGAGCATAACTCCACGTGTACAATTTTGCCGAAAAATGATCGAGCTAAGCCGAGAAGACCCCAACTTTTTTAATCGAGTTTTGTGGAGTGACGAATCCACCTGTAAGAAAGATGGCTACACAAATCTCCACAATCTACATAGCTGGCAAATATCAAACCCTCATTTAATAAGAGAGGACCGTTCTCAGTACCCTTTCAAAATCAATTTATGGACTGGGATTTTTAACGGCAGAATTATGGGTCCAGTGGAATTACCTGCAACATTAATTTCGGCAAATTATTTAGAACTATTGAGAGACACATTGCCGAGACTTTTAGCAGAAGAACCAGAGGATTCAATACAAACAATGTGGCTACAAACTGACGGATGCCCAGCCCATTTTGCACGTGAAGTGAGGGCCTACCTTGATGAGGTTTTTCCTAGGCGGTGGATTGGCCGTCTGGGGCCAATTCTATGGCCACCAAGGTCGCCAGACCTAAACCCTCTAGATTTCTTTTATTGGGGTTGCCTCAAAGATAAAATTTATTCGCGACCGAACACACCGATTGGATCCCTGGAAGAATTAAGAGAGCGTATTAACCAGGCTGCACAACAAATTCCTATTATGAGCTTGCGGCGTCTAAAACAAAATTTTTTGAGGTGTGTATTGTGCATTCGTACTGGTGGCAGACACTTTGAACATCTTTTATGAGAATCGTAATTGGTTACTTCTTTATTGATGTTTTTGGTTGATTAAAGTTTGAAAGTACTTTTCTGTGTTTTCTTAAGTTTACCTTACATGGAAACACCAGTTTTTGATTCTTATACTTTTTTAAACAAGTATTGAGCTGTGTAACAATAGTTTGAACATTCGATCAACGTGAAAAGCAATTATGATTTGAAAAGTGTAATTCTGAAATTCGACCCATTTCGCCCTTGCACTCAAGAATTTTTATTCTCCTACTCCTTACCTGATTTCTACCATTTTCGAATCCTCATTAACTGGGCTATTTTTCGGAGAGGTTTGTCAAACCAGTCCCATACATTTTTCTTATACCACTGCTAGTCGAACTTACCAGAAACTTTTTGGTGCAGAAATAAAATTCCATAATAGTGCTGCGATTTCAAAATTACGTGACTTTTAGAATAAAACTGTTTGTAGTTTCATGCTTCAATCATTCGCTAATAATAATAGTGTAAAGAAATTAAAATAAACCCTAAACGCGGCACCTGTCGTCGAAAGTTTGACGAAAGTCATACTTTTTCAAAAAAACTGATTTTTTGTTTTAACGCAAAGGTTACACGTTTTTTTTTGTCAGGTCTGTACCGCAATTGAGAGGTCATTATCTAAGGGATCTCCCATTGCAATTTGATTCACATATTACACATATATGGAAGAAATTTGGATATTAGTCAAAACAGACAAAATTGTATTTTTAATAGCTAAATATAAATTGCTTACATCTATTTTCCAAAAGTAATGAGGTTATCTTCAATTTTCGATTCTCATATTTACTTAGAAGAACTTAAGTCCTCTATATTACCCGCTGAGGCAATCATCTAATGGGATCGGTTTACTTTGATTGGGGGCTGTATTTAGCTCAGATTTAATCGCTACCTACCTTGAGACATTCACGCATTCTACACCAAGAGTACCAACCAATACTATATTGGTGCGTCCAAAAATTATCCGAGATGAAATGAGACACGACACAGTAGCGTCATCTATGAGAATTTGTCGCAACTATCCACAATAATTAGAAATCTACTTTGAAAACGTTAGTGTCTGATAGTTGACACTGAACTTTAATGCGGCATAATTTACATTCAGATATAAGGAATTCTTTATCAATTAATTGATATTCGGGCATTCGTTAATATCAAACTTCTAATGCCTATTTCATCCCTTTAGGAGCTGAAATTCAAAAAATGCTGTGTAACATTTTTTTATGTGTACAGTATAGTATTTGTACAAAGTTTCAAGTAACTCCATTGAAAGAATAGAAAGTTCCATATAAAGTGCCATCCCCTATTTCAGCCTCTTGTGGGATTAATTTCCAAAAATACCCTGTTAGTGTTAACTTACGCTTAATGAAAGACACCTCTGCAATATTTCATGTTTCTATGATTAACGGTTTGGCTTAGCATTGATATGTTAGTCTGTCAGTGCCCTATATATAGAAATTTTATCACTCCTTTTTAAAGGATAGCTTTCAAAAAATGTAAATCAACATTATGTGTATTTTAGGGTGTTTGTAGAAAGTTTCAAGTGAATCCAGTGAGAGGGTAAGTAGTTTCATAGAAGAAATCTCTCGTTAGTGCTAGTTTACACGTTGTAAAGAGTATCCCTGCGAAAACTCAAGTTTATATGTTTAGCCTCAGTCACTGAGTCCACTTTAGGGTATGAAATTCAAAAATGTTTAACTGCATATTTTAATGTGAATAGTACGGAGTTCTAACTAATCCATTGGAAGAATAAAAAGATTCATACAAACTTCCCTCTATTTCACCCCCTTAGGGGATGAATTCTCAAATATCGCTTCCGTGGTATATTGCGTTTTATGAAGCGGTTTCGAGTCTCACTCAATGAATAAGTCAACGTCCTCTTTTATATAAAATAGAGGTTTTTGATACCAAAATCTATCACGCCACAGTTTCGTGCGAAATGTTACGTTTCAACTTTGGAGGACAAATTTGCCAATTCTTGTTCATAGAAGAAAGGGTAAACACTCAGAACATACTTTCTGGGGGTAACGACATTGTTATTCTATTGGATCAAAAATTTTTGAAAACACTTAATTGTCCATTTTTCATAATTCAAGGCATATAAGGGTCCTATGCATAAATACCTCAGAACCTGTGGGAGATATAGCTTAGGTTAAATTAGCAAAAAGGTGCATTACGTACGGTGTATCTAAAAACCGCTGAGAAACTTGTACAAATTTCTTGGCCGAATCGTTTTTTTTTTTAATTTATTTTGACCAGTATAAAAAAACTGATGAAACTTTTCTGTTGGAACTTTTTAGGCACTACACGCTGGTGGTTTTAAATTTTGTGCCCGAGGGTTCGTTTTTGAGAAACCATCACCAACTTTATTTTTTATATGGTTCGGAAAAAAGTACACCCTGTATCTTACAAGCAGATGCTGCGAACTCTGAGATATCAACTAGGCAAATTGAGAAAAATGTAGGAGTAGCCAGATCCACAGCTCAATTTATTAGTGAAGATTTTAATTTCCCATACTCTTACATCAAGCATTTGTTTGCAATGCCGACGTCAATAAAATAAAAAAAAAGTAAAGTGAAATTGTTTATAAAATATAAATCCTTTATTTATGCTTCCAAATCAATTTCATCCCCTTCAAAGTAATTCCCGTCCGATAAAACACACTTTGCCAACGCTTTTTCCAATCCCCGAAACAGTCGGAATAGTCTTTTTCCAGTATAACCTTCAAGACCTTCTTCGATTCAGTTTTGATCTCCTCAATCGTTTCAAAACGGCATTCACGCATTGGCCTTTTGAGTTTGCTGAATAGGAAGAAGTCGCACAGAACCAAATCAGACGGCACAATGCGATCGAGTTTTTTGCAAAAAAGTCGCGAAGAATCAATGCAGTATGACATGGAGCATTATCGTGATGAAGGAACCAAGAGCTGTTCATTCATAATTCCGGCTATTTCAGACGAATAGCTTCGTGCAAACGATGCAAAACGCTCAAATAATATTCTTTGTTGACAGTTTGGACCGGCGGAAGGAATTCATAGTGCACGACACCACGATAATCAAGGAAAACTGTCAACATGACCTTGATTTTCGATCGACTTTGCCGTGGTCTTTTCGGTGTTGCTTCACCTTTTGCACGATATTTCAGGTGGTCCTGATAGTCAGTCAGCAAAGTTTCATTTTGGCATCAATCGAGACTTGACGCATTTTAGACACAAAAACTTCCTTCGCAATGGTTTGGGCTGAGCCAAATGATATTCCAGCACTATCAGTAAGGTTTCTCATTGTCAATCGACGATTTTCAAGCACCAAATCGTTCGACGTAGTAATCGTCGGTAGACGTTGATGGTCGTCCAGAGCGCGGTTCGTCTTCAACGCGTTTTCGGCCCGCTTTGAAATCGATGTTCCACTTATAAATGTTTTTTTTTCTGCCATAGGTTGATCACCAAAGGCCTTCCGCAACATTTTCAACGTGTCCGCCAAGAATATTCGTTCAGCAAACAAAAATTGATGCAAGTTCTTCGCTCAACAATATCACTCATTGTAAAAATCGAAAAATTCAGTCTTGGTTGTTTAAAAAAACACGTGCAACTCGGAGATAATTAAACCTTTTGACAGACGCTTGTAAAATGTTATAGACAGTCCTACCAACCTGAGAAAAAAATGTACCTGCCTTCCTAATACCCGGTAGCTTTAAATTACAATTTCACCTTAATTTTTGATCACAGTATATATAGTTTAATTCGTAGAAAAATTCGATATCAGATACTTCTTTTTCGGACCATATAATAAATAAAGTTGATCATGGTTTCTCAAAAAAAACCTCGATCATAAAATTTAAAAACACCATCATGTAGTGCCTAAAAAGTGCCAATGAAAAAGTTCTATTAGTTTTTAGATATTTCTTAAAATAAAGTCAGAAAAAATAAAAATGATTTGGATAAATTTTAGTTTTTCCCAAATATAAATCATGAAATTTTCACAAGTGCACGACACCAGGATAATCAAGGAAAACTGTCAACATGACCTTGATTTTCGATCGGCTTTGCCGTGGTCTTTTCGGTGTTGCTTCACCTTTTGCACGATATTTTAAGTGGTCCAGGTAGTCAGTCAGCAAAGTTTCACACACATCAACGCGACGCTGTTTTTCCAAAAAATTGAGCGATTTTGGCTTCAATCGAAACTTGACGCGTTTTAGGCATAAAACATCCTTCACAATGGTTTGGGCTGAGCCAAATGATATTCCAGCACTATCAGCAAGGTTTCTCATCGTCAATCGGCGATTTTCAAGCACCAAATCGTTCGACGTAGTAATCGTCGGTAGACGTTGATGGTCGTCCAGAGCGCGGTTCGTCTTCCACGCGTTCTCGGCCAGCTTTAAAATCGTTGTTCCACTTATAAATATTTTTTTTCTGCCATAGTCTGATCACCAAAGACCTTCCGCAACATTTTCAACGTAACCGCACAAGAATATTCGTTCAGCAAACAAAAATTGATGCAAGTTCTTTGCTCAACAATATCACTCATTGTAAAAGTCGAAAAATTCAGTCTTGGTTGTTTAAAAAAACCCGTGCAACTCGGAGATAATTAAACCTTTTGACAAACAGACGCTTGTCAAATGTTATAGACAGTCCTACCAACCTGAGAAAAAATGTACCTGCCTTCCTAATACCCGGTAGCTTTAAATTACAATTTCACCTTATGATCACAGTATGTATAGTTTAATTCGTAGAAAAATTCGCTATCAGATACAGGGTGTACTTCTTTTTCGGACCATATAATAAATAAAGTTGATCATGGTTTCTCAAAAACAAAACCTCGGTCATAAAATTTAAGAACACCATCATGTAGCCTAAAAAGTGCCAATGAAGAAGTTCTATTAGTTTTTCGATATTTCTTAAAATAAAGTCAGAAAAAATAAAAATGATTTGGATAAATTTTAGTTTTTCCCAAATATCTCATTAATCATGAAATCTTCACAAGTTTCTCAACGGCAAGTAAATACGACCAGAACCCAGCCTTTACCTAATTTAACCTAAGTTGTATCTCCCACAAATATTGAGATCCCCATGCAAAGAATCCTTGTCTCGTGACTTATTCATTACCAACAAACCAAGAAGAGAAACCCTGTCTAGATATGAATTGAACACGACTCTGGTGCACTTCCAAATGTATAATTTCATAAGTGGAAGTATTAAAATTTATAGTTAATCATATGCATGTGTCATAATGCTAACAGAATCTCTAGAGCTATCTGGGTATTCGCCGTAAATAATTAGCGTGGCATTAAATATCAGCTAATTAATCAAATTTCAGTTGTTTGAAATAATTGCAAAATCATTTTCGTTAATGTGCATATATCCAATAACGAAGTATCGGAGGAATTAATATTTATCGACATAAAAGTATAATATACAGGTATATAAAATAATATAATCTATAAAAAAGTTTTGATGATAAAAAATCAATTAGTAGCGATCTGGGAGTTTTATATTTACTAGGCATGCTAGAGGATGAAGAATCTAAGGCTCATAACCACAATTCTTCATATTCGAATAAAATGACAAGTATACACGGCTAGGTGAAAGTTGAAGAAATCTCTTATTGTTACTCGTTTGTTTGTACTGAGGGGCAATATGCACATATTCTGGCACTGCTTTAGAGGTCCGCCGGGTGGTACCCCCACGATCGCTATCCTTATGAAAAAAAATTCGCGTATTCGCGATCTTTACACAAAAAAATAGGCGTCAAGTAGGTTGACTATGCATTTCCCACGCAACGTTATCAGTTCATAACGGATTAATATTATAAGAAATAAGTTAACTAGGAACATGTATAACTCAAAAAGAGAATTAAATGGACCAAGTGCACCAATCAGACCTAAATAATAAGACCATAGTCCCCGCCCATTTGATAAGGCTAGGTACTAGAAATTTCTTCCCAACCCTTACTGAAAATAACGACCATCTGGCAACGTCAGCCATGCTATGCTGTCCAGAACGAGCGGTGAGGCGGTCAGAGATCGGGCGGCAGAGGCAGCCGCAGACAGGATTTTGTGCGCACCAGTGTAAGTTTGTAGTCTACGGCAAGAGCGGCCTAGACGCGACACGTTCGTTATTTACTTTAAGTTTAAGAGCAAATTAACGGGGAAATCTATGATGTAGTACTAATAGGTGCGTAGAATTAACGGGGCTAGAAGCGTAGAAATACTGCCGTAAAAAAATGAGATTTACTGCCCCCCACCCCCTCCCAAAATTTTTAATCCACACAATTTCTTTGGACGTCACTGGAGCGATTTGCAAAAACTTTTTCGTCCTTGGCATACTAGTAACATTATTTGAAAATTTGATCAAAATCCGAGCGGTACTTCAAACAGCCATTACAAAAGAAGCTGTTAGATAAGTTGATCTAAGGACCAATTGCCTATTAGCATCAAATGTGTATTCTGTTTTAGATACTTTTATCGCCGTTCGCGCTATTGATCATGTTACACGTAACAACCGGCGCTGATCTGGAGCACGTTCACGAGTACGTTGAGGAAGAAATAGCCACTCCACAACCTCCACCCAGGCCATATGCATTTGGTTATGCGGCTGGAAGATATCCAGGACACATCGACAGAACACATTCCGAAGTATCTGATGGATCTGGTGTAGTGCAAGGTAAGATTTTCAAAAAATAGTTCTATGATCACTGAAGACTCGAAAAACCGCTTCACCTTGCAGGCCATCTTCTTCGTGTTCCTATCCATTCCGGATGTCAGCGATCATTCCTGTTATTATTTTATTGACTGCTGACCGAAAGAGCCCTGTTATTATTAAAGAGAATCATGTCCTAAGTTTTTCAGCCACGATATTATTTTACTGCTAGAACACGTCCTCCAGATATTTTGATTTTTATAATTCTCTGTAGAAGTTATTTTTACTCATTGCTCATAAATGCTGGCATTGCTTATGTTTTGGTGTCCTGTCAATTGCTCAGCATGAGTAAAATCAACAGGCTGATTTTAACGCGTGTACCAACTTGGTTGAGGAAAAGACTTGTGTGTCTGAATGTCTGACAATCACATGATGTCGGATACCACAGACACTACATCTTGCATGACCACTTAATAACTAAACTGTATCCATCGAAGAAACAAAGTAAAATCAAACATATACACCCGTATTGCAGGTGATCAAGAACTTAACCGTAGGAGACGCTACAGGGCCGTATCAAGCTATTGTGACTGATCTATCAAAAAATGTCGTACAAGATATGTGTTGCTGTAAATTCTATCAAAAGCATAGTAAATTAGAAATAGAATATACCACGCCTTTCTAATCATATTTCGACATTAGGAATCAGTGCAAAAAATTCTGTATTCACCATTTCAGCAAACTGTTACTAAAACGCACACGAAAAAAACTTGTGGACCATCTCAATTGAATATCGAAATTAAGCAACTTACTCTTTTTAGGTTAGTGAACGGATAGGGTCTTAGATTAGTTTTTGGGTGAAGGAAATACTCAGAAACTTGGATGAGATAGCAAAACTGAGTTCGGAGGTTCCAAATCATTGATTCGATCAGAAAATGAATTATCTGCATCCAAAAAAGTTCATATACTTCGAAACTTACCTGCAATCCCGTCGAAAGGCCATCTAAAAAAGCCTGCCTTGAGGACCTCACAGATCTGTCTACCCAAACCTTTCCCTGCGTATGCCCCGTGTTCACCCATGTTTCGTCTAAATAATAAATTTTTCTTCCTTCAGCGCGGAATTGCCTAATTTTTCTAAGGTATTCTCTCCTCCAGATAACAATTTCCTCCTTTTCTATCAATAAACTATTCCTTCCTCTTTTCAAAAATCGAAAGTCTAGTTCCTTCAACAGCTTATGGAACGTAGATCTTTTAAAATTTGGCAGGTCCTCATCATCATTCACTTGCTTCAATATTTTATCTATTGTAGGTATTTCATTCCTGAAGAAAAAGTGATGTACTTTTCTTCTAATGGCACTTTTGTCAAAGTCGTCTATTTTTTCGATGATTTTTTTTCTCGCTGGATATGTTTTTGGCACAGATAGTGAGTGATTTTGTCTATATTCCTTCAAGATTTTGTAAACACTTGATCGACCTACTCCAGAAATTTCAGCAACCTTACATACGATATTTTCTATAGCCAATCCACTATTCTCTTGCATCTGGTTCTTGTAGATATTTAGAATAATTTGTTTTTCACCTGCGCTAAGATGAAGCTTTTTAGCCCTTTTGCTGAGTGGCGTTAAGCTGATTTCAACCACTTCATCAGCTGTATCTGTGTCAGACATTTTAGACTAATATTAAATTTCCGCAAGAAAAATCAGGTCAAGACGTGCATAAAACGTTCGCGCTCATAAACGGGTATCCGTAACTGATTACAATCCTGTGCGTGGTGACGAACCATCAACGTGACGCTGAGAGTTCCCTCTACTATGCAGCGTTGCCAGGCTTAACGTCACAATGATCATGTTTTATTGGGAAAATTGTCTGAAATCGCCGAATGTTGAACAGAAACATTACAAGAAGTCTAACCTTGAAATGTGAGGCTACAAATCGATATTCTTATAGGGGGGAAGGGTATGGAGCTGTTATGGTTCCTATTAACCTTGGTGAAAGTTGGAAACGGTAATATCATATATGGCATACATTCGGTTGAAGGTGTGTGCACGGAAAATAGATTGCGGATAGGATTTTAATAGATAAATCTGCACAAAAAAACACAAAAGGAGATTTTTGTATTTCCCTGAAGAATATCTCAAGGTTATTTCAGATGTACTCATCGAAACTTTATGGAAGGATTATCGAAACCTTATTTTCAATTGCGATAGGGCCACATACCTCGACATCGCATTAATGTGAAAAATAAGACAATAGAAAAAATTCCCTCACTGATGCTTTCTCTTAGGAAAAATTTAACTATAAAGATTGCACAAAAATTTTCTTCACCTTTTTGAGCTTGTTTTCACATCTCCGTATATGCCGTTCATAATTTGCTGCAGATCAAATTGGAATATACCTTTGTGATGCCATTTATTGTTATATAATGTCCTTTACAACAGTTATTGCACCAACAGATTGATTTGTGATCCATGCGAATGTGATCAACCACTCTGGCGAAATCTCGCCGAGCGTGGCAACCGTGCGACTTTGTCTGGAGGCTCGTCGCTACAAGCCAATCAGGAAGAGGCCGACAGAGCGCCATGGCTACCGATCACGCGTTGATCACGAATCAACCACTGTTTACGATTACTTTGTAGCTTCGTTAGATACACAGTAACTAATTTATTTATTTATTTACTTCCTCTCGATAAATCTAAACAATCTATATCTAACAAAAAAACAGTCAAATACTAAAAAATAAGATTTAACGACACATATTCTTGCACATTTATAGTCTTTTAAGAGATTCCTAAATGTATTTAGACTGTGGCAATTCTTTATTTCTAAAGGCAGTAGGTGTAGGTTAGTCATTTTTAGGTCATTAATATTTTGGGACTTGCTCATAATTTGAGTTCTATAGGGATATAAAAGTATTCACTAATCGTCGCATTTATTGAATGCATTTGGCGGTGTGTTGGGAATTTGACTCAGATGCTCAGGTTTCCGTGTTTTCACTGTTGAAATGATTTTCGTTATTTATTTTATTCTGCGCAATAACACGTTGGGTGCATGGGTTATCTACGAAGTTTACAAAACTTTTGAAGGCTTCCAGGTTCTTAATGGTTGCTTCCGTCAAATTTCAAGATTCAGCTCCGTATGGCAAGAATTTTAGAAGTCTTGCTTTTGTTTGTTTTTTAATAGTTTTTAAAAACCGTCGACACCGTTTGATTTTGATTCCTTGCGAGTAATTCCATTGACCGTCTAACCGGATACCTAGATAACGTATGTGTACTTCCTTTCTACTCAATGTTGTTTAGATTTTCAACCTATAAAAATTGTTCAAAATATATCTAGGCACCTCCAGATTTAGTACAACTCCATTAAATGCACTCATGTCTTATATCGTTTCTCATTGAGTTTCAGCAACTGCAACTGGTGGTTCTTGAGGTGTTACTTGAATTTGTTCACAATTTGTGTGACTATATGAAATTATCTGTTCAAGGTATTGTATCGACACATGTTTCTGTGAAGTTTGAATGAAATATTCCGTTTAGTTTCTGAGATAAGCCATATAACATTTACGTGAAATGGTTTCTATTTTCTCCTATTATTTCAATCTTCGTCAGAAATTTTACTAGAAATATTTGAAAAGCTGATCGTTTCAATTTTGAAGAAATCAAAACGTTGTCTCAAAATTTGTTTTGAAATATTCAACGAGAAAGCTGGTAAATCTACAGCATTCAGATGCTCAGTATGGAAGCTAAGAGCGGTCTACGTTCAGTCAGATTTCATTGTCTGTGGTTGTTTGGCCAGTCATCTGGCAGAAGTTTCATTAACGTCTGTCGTGCTGATCATAATTTGATAGAAAGATAAGATCATTCAACAGGACGAGGGCGAAGTTAGTTATGGCCTTCTCAATCTCCGAAATTCGAGCCTCTACTTTAATTATGGGACTATTCAAAATTATAGTTTACCTACATTACACCCAAGCGAATTGAGATCGGCCACTAATATTTTTTGCTATAATGAAATGTATCGCAACATAAAAAACTCTTACGCATTCTTGCTCCACTACCAGTTAGTGTGGCAACAGCAGAGGAGTTCTCCGTTCTGAGGAGGCTCCAAGCATGGTTGAGAGTGTCTTTAGCAGAAGATCGCCTAAGCTGGACTGGCTCTTCTTCACGTGCACAAAAATATACATGTCGATCTAGAAGAAGTGATAAATCGTTCCACAAGAAAGCAAAAAGTATCCAACAATGAACTGTTTTTTTTTAGATTTATTTTCAACGTATTCATGGGACCTGTCGACTAAGTTACCCTCTCTGACTTAAAGACTAAATTCGCCCTTGCTCCAGTAGTAGTCAAATGACTTCTTACTGTAGCTTAATAAGAAACAGAAAAATAAGATTGGATTTTTGAATCCTAGCTAGAGGAGGCCATTTTATTTTTAAATTATGTAGCAAATACCTTAATCGATGTTTCGGACGTATTTGGATACGTCTTATCGACTTTTCCTAAGCTTTTGATACAGGGGATAACAAGTATACCTCATCACCACTCAGCACTATTTCAAAGATCTTTCTAATATGAAGCATATGAGATAAAAAATACACATTATTATTATTTAAAAAGAATATTTGGTAAATGCTTCTGAAAGAGTGATATAGCTAGTCTCACGTTTTGATTCTGTTTTTTGTTTTTGATTTTGTAAGTCATTTACATAATTCTCGATGTTCCTGTATAATCTACTTTATTAACATGGTTAAATGTAAGAGTAGCGATTAGCTAAATTTTGCCCTAATAAAGCCGGAATTATTTTTACTATGATTTGCTAACGAATATTCAATTTTTTTGCAGGATCATACTCTTACGTAGATCCAAAGCACAAAATCCGGACAGTGGAGTATATAGCAGATCGGGAAGGGTTTCACCCAGTTCTTAACGAACATGTTCCTGATCTACCATCAGACACTCCGGCTGTAGCAGCTGCTAAACAAAAACATTTGCAAAGGTAACTTTTTAATATATCAACAAGCACTTGTTCCGTTTTGAACCAATTTCACAAAGGGTGACTTCGAAGTTGAGTCATTTATTTTAACAGTGAGTAGATCTGATCAAAAGAAATGTTTTTTTCCTTTACCATTTTTCTGGTAAAATTAAAGTAACAAAGTTATAGCCCTTTGGAAGTTTGAGTACCGCCCTGTCTCAATCATAATATCATGTACTCGTGTTTGGCAACAACGGATATAATCCGCCTTACCGGTTCATCGCATCGGAAACAAAAAAGCGAAAGAATTTGGAACGATCTTTTTGCAATTAAGTATTTTATTCAGTTCAGTTATACATACAGTCAGTGTCTGTCGGTTAGCGTCTGTTGCGTGGCTCAAACGAAATAAAAAATGGCACATGTTTATGCGGATCGGTTTCCCAATCGAGTGCAACCAACCCCTCGTGCCTTTGTTAATGTAGTACAACGGGCTCGTGAATCAGGTGACTTAAGACCTCACAGGGGACCTCACGATCAAATACAGGTCCGCACTGAAATACTTGTCGGGAGGATACTTTATAAAACAAGGTAAAAAATTTTTTTTAATTTTTTTTATTTTTACACACATATTCTGGTTTATCTTCCTTCTACAATCATTATCTGAAAATTAATGACTCAACTTCAAAGTCACCCTGTATTTCTCATGTTCAAAATACAATAAGCACGTAAGTTTGAGTGAAAGGGAGTTGAATACGGAAGTTTTGTCCTACAAAGTAGTATATTTTCGGATTTCGTATGGGATAACCTAAAACTCGTCTCTCCGCAAAAGTCTAGGAGCAGACACTACGGTCACATGTATCCTCAGTCTGCATGGCAGGACATTATTATACCTATCGCGATATATAAAAAAATATTTAAAAATGGCCGGCAACTGGTACAACCGATATTCAACATATCATCGTAACCACTAGGCCGATTTTAATCTGTAAATCTCATTTTACTTGTTTTTTTTTAAGGCAAACATATTTTGAGATTATACATTTTTCGAATAATCCAATAATCATTGAGATATACGCCCTAAGAAGTATTCTCCAGTTTTGTCACCATTTTTATATATGACGACCTTATGACACCAATTCGGATCACGTGATCTTTTCCGTCAAATACTTCAGTATACATTCTAACCTTCGGAACGAATTTCAAAGCACTGAATGCTGAATGAAGGCCACTTATGTATAGCTGATGATAGTTTACACTTAGGTTATTTTTTAAAAGAACCTGTAATATATGACCCTCCCCCTCTCCAACCTGAATGTGAAAAAGCAGATTATTATTAACATTGTGGTGATTTTGAACATTAGAGCTAGCCACCAACTCAGAAAAGGAACTTAAGGAAACTAAAACAACTAGATATATTTTATTCTAGATACGCAGCGATAGCACAGTCCCATAAAGCCTCACAGGGAAGAGTGATAGTACCGTTGGACACAAGAACAGTCGAGTACGCTAAACAGAAGCATTTAGCGTTGTATCAACAGATTGCTGCAGAACACGCGCAGCAAGCAGCTGAGCTTGAGCAACTCAAGCGAGCACAAGGAAATGATGTTGACGAACAGTACTAATAATTAAAATGGTACATTAAGAAGGATTTTTATAAGTTGTAACATATTTTGTACGTTGAATAAATCTTAGGATTACGTAGTACTCTTAATGGATGTCTTCCGCTGCACTTCATTTACCTTATCATGATGGCGCCTTATTTGCCACGACAGTGGATATGACAGGAACGTTATCAAATATCTTCCTAATACCTGCTTTACACTCAGTAAGATACAAAAGATATCTTGATCAGACGCATCCTCATTAACAAAAACAGCTGATTCTTTTTGTCATTTTCTTGAAACTGCCGGTATCCGCATTACATAGCTTAAAAAGTTACATTATGTTGATTGTATATGACATTATATAGGTTGCAATCAATTAATGAATTAATTGCAAACAATCTGACATGAAAATCCAATTGATTCGTTTTTCTGCAAGACCAGATGCAAAAAAATGACAGAATCAGCAGTTTTGTTAGTGCGCATGTTGCCGAGTGCAAAACTGGTATTACTATTGTATAATTCAATGCTTATTTATTTCACCCCTTTTGCTCAAGGAACGTATGTGGGGACATGCATCAAATGTTAAATTAATTCGACTATTGTCGAAGGTTATAAAAAATACAAATATGGCCAAAATTTTTGTCCTCTACTCACGAGAAGTTTTGCGAAAATATCAGTATCGAGAGAGTGAAAATGCAAATCTTGGCCATTAAATTTTGGGTAAATTGAAACACTGTTCAAAGCTACCAAGCAACGTTAACACAGACGAATATGTGCTTTTTTTCATTTTCTTCTGTTGAAACTGATTATGTACCCTGAAATGTCTTTTACGTACCAGTTAGTGAGACAGAAAAGCATTTTTACTATGCGGTGTTGGTATGCAATTATTTTTTTTGGTTTGAACTTCATGTACATTTATATTAGTATTCGTCAAAAATTTATTACAGTTATTCATCTATTTTACTTATTCCATCTCAAACACATAAAATGATTTAAATGGTAACTCGTTTGAATTGAAATTTTTGCAAGGTGTAATTTCAATGCTAAATATACTAAATTAAAGTTTAACATGAAAAATAAAAATATCATCACTTTTCCACATTTGACCTTATTATGTTTTCTATTAATAAGACACAGTTAATTAAAATAAAGTTATTTTGTTATTTCTTTCCTAACATCCAAATTTCGTAAAGTCCGGTCATTTGACCAGCTATGATAGAAATAGAAGTTTTAAGTGTTTTGGTAGGTTTAGTGTTTAAAATGTTTTATAAAATCAGGTGCAGCTTTATGAGTATCTAGGAGTTTTTAAATCTCTATTTTAAATAAAATCGTTTTTTATAGATATCTTATTTAACACGTTCGCTGCCGCTGGCTCTTATAAGACTCAATGCGAGATGTTCGCCGGTGCCGCAGACTCTTATCAGAGCCAAGGTACAATACTGCAGGCACTCAATGGCACAAATTAGTAAAACGTGATTCAGATGGTAAAAAAACAAGTATCCAGACAAAGATGCAAGTCTTGTAGCAAGAACGGAATCCGTACCCAAACGATGTACGAATCTAGAACATGCCCTGATGTTCCAGGATTCTGCTTGGAGTGCAGCGACATTATTCACAAATAATTTTTTGCACTAAAAATAGTCTGCATTCACCACAAATTCCTGTTTGTATTTTAAAAAAAGTTGTTTCATTTCTTTTTTTTTATTTTATTTAGTTTTTATCACATTAGGTGTAATATTTATCGGAGAAGTTTTTGTTTACTTTTATAAGTTCTCTACTATTTTGAGTTACAAAAATTATTTTTAATATTTTATTTTTGTTAACGGTCGATAATAAATGTTTTTTTTTGCTTTTAGTTTATTTCTATTATAATAAACAAATAATTATCTTCCGACTCTTATAAGCGCCAGCTGGCACACAGGAAACCGATTTGTAAGTTAGTGCCGTCGGCTCTTAGAAGAGCCACCAAAAATCTTCTTATTAAAAAAACAATGTTTAACTGATTTTACGAAATTATACTACCAAAATAACAAATTGACCGTTGTACAACTAATTGGCTCCTGGATAAAACAAACCGAAATTTTTTTACTACCAAAACCCTATATATTTTAGAAACAAATGACGGTTTCGGTGCATTTCCGAAAATACTTCTAAAATGTTCTATGTTCCGCTTTTTGATATACTTGTAGATGTGAAGTAAAATATTACTCCAATTTGACCAGCTTCGTATCTTTTTTACATTATTTTTTATTCGAATGCTTTATTGAAGTTAGGTTTCAAAAGTTATCGAATTATCATCACGTTTTATCTAATTTTAAACAGTTTTGATGCAATATTGCATTAAAACCGAGGCCAAAAAGTTTAAGAAAGAAATCCAAGGGCATGTTCGTTATTCTATCACTTTAATTTTATAACACCACTCATGTTTCTGATTAATCAAACATTCGGCTTCGGTAAAAAAATCGGTACCTCTGATCGGACACCAGTTATGAGGTCTCGTATCGAAAAAAATCGATTTATTTAACACTTGACGTAAGGCTCACTTGAATAAGGAGATCACAAGTGATGGCTATGCCTTCATTTGTCCTTAACAAAACACAATTGAATAATATGTTTCATACAATTTACTAGAGGAACGTAGTTTTAGTTTTACTGACTGGTCATTCTTTTGGAAGTGTTTTATAGAAAATACAAGTAATGTTCAAAGTTGAGGTATTATTTTAAAACAGTTGTTGAATTAAAACCTCCACGTAAAACAGAATGTATTCAATTTATTAATGAACAGACCTTAAAATTACAATAGCATTTTAAATACAATTAATACATTGAAAAAATAAATTTTATATACTATGACATAGGATTTTTATTCACACATACATGCAGCATAAATATTGATTTACATTCTCATATTTCAGCATTATGTACATACACGTGCAACATCTATTATTGCTACACCCCTTAATTTACAGTGTTGATACAATAAACATTAAAAATTGATAAAAACATGAAATGGAACGTACGTTCGGAGCTATTGATATTTTTGTATGCTTTAGGCCATGCAAATATGAGGAAACAATTGTCTGAGTGCTCTAATTTTATGGAACCATCCACAATGATTCCAAATGAGAGTGACGTGACCGATTTAACATCACTGAATATTTTATCTCAGACCAAGACTGCATCCAAAATTCCAGGTCTCTACATGCATAAATAGTTTTTCATAGTGTTATCATATTCGTTATCAGAAAAAGTTTCAAGCATATTGACATTTGATTACATGACCTGAAAGCATTATGAAAATAATGGATTTATTTACTGCTACCTCCATTCACTTTCTTAATATCCTTGACATATCTTTATTCTGTTTATTGATGGTCATATCAGCATTTTCGGTTTTGTCTATAATGTTGCTTATCAGATCATTCTGTGTCAAAATTTCATCTCCTAGATCATTAGCAAGTCCTTTCAGACGTGAAATATTGTTGCACATTTCCTGGAGATTCGCATCTAGACGCGCACTGAAGTCTTTGCTGCCTGATGAACTCTGGTAGTCTCTAGAGTAGTTGTCTTGCAATCTAGTAGCGGGGTGATTTTCATAACGATCATATGTTGATAATTTTTCGTCCAAGTTTGGGTTTGATGTGGATTGCTGAAAAAGAATTATATTATTAAATAATGAATCAAATATACTCACTTGATCTGTTCTTAGTCAAAACTTTGCAGGTCAGCAGGAACAGTATATGACAGCTCAGGTTGCCCAGATAGAATGCTTAGGTGATGTGGTTGATTAACATATTCTCCAAGAAGATTTCCCGCCTTATGCTCTATATTAGGACATTCCATCATCAATGCTATGTTGCCAGATAGGATGACTAATGCCTTTAGAAATAATAAAACCCGGCTCCATTCTTCTTTGAAAGAAAATTGTTTATTCCTAAACAAGACGTTAACCTTATAAGGAAAGACCTCAAACTTCATCATATTTAATACAATGATTTTGTATTTGCAGAATTTTTCAATTTTGGAAAAGTAAAAGGAAATTCTGAATTTTTGATGTTAGCATATTTATATGCTCCCTATCCCCGTAATTCTATGCACCTATTAGCCATATCATCATAGGTTTTTCAAATGCGCGTCTCCTTCTCCTATCTGGGCTCAGCGCGCGGTGTTTCGGTAGGCTCAGCCGATATGGGAAGGGGCATCGTTGCCAGATGGACGGTAACTACCGGTAAGGCAGGAAAAGAATACCTATGCACTAATTGTATGTGTCTATTTGACTGAATTGATCCGCTCAATTTCTCTATGCTACATTTTTGTAACTTATTTTTTCTCAAAGGGTTTAACTTGTGGCAAACTTAATCTTTATGAACTAATGATGGCATTGCATACAAAGTGCAGAGTCAACCTACTTGACGCCATTTTTTATATGACCATTCAGAAAAACATATCATACAAAAAATGTAAGGTCTATTCTAAAATCCTATGTGTCTCAGGAAAGTGCCATGAAGTTTTATTTTAGTAATTCTCTAGCTTAGCTACACCAGTCTTTTTTGTTTCTCCATTTGAATAGACAGTATGTTTGGTTTGTAAATGATGGAAATGAGATTAAAAATGCCTGCAAATGGGTTAGTTGCAGAATAATGTTGATATTATCTAGGTTTTAAAAGGTATCAACACTTTAATCATGACAATTTCAGAATGGAACGAATCCTACACATACCGCGACGTTGCCATATTGAAGAAATATAAGAAAATTTAAATTATATAGAATATGTGTCCGCATGAGTCGCGGCGCGTGTGCATTTGACGTTATGTAGGTCGGTGCAGTTTCGAACTCATACATACAAATTTGGTTATTAAAAATATCCATCAACATGAAAACCTGAAGTAATGAATATCTGACAACATCGCACAACCTAAGAGATCAAACATTCAATAAGAACCTATTATATAGTAATTTATTCCAAAACTTTCACATTTTGGCTAATTTTGAGTCCCATTTCTTTCATCTACACCGAAATACCAGGGTCTGAAATCATTTTTCCATCAAAAACGGCGGGTGTAGCTAAGCTAGAGAATTACCTTTATCTATTCAAATAGAACAGTGTATAATTTTTTTCTGATTCCAAATATATCTGGTTTATAACTTATTTTCATTAGTTTGGATTAGATTTGGTGTGTCATATATCCATGTGTATCCAAATTCATAACAGTTTGCATCTATGTATATATAATCTGACATAAAATTTAAGTTTTTGATTGAACTAATGAAAATAACATAGTAATAAATCATATGTATATTTAGAAACAGAAAAAAAAGCAACTCTATGGTTCACTGAAAATATTCAGGGTCCATATAAAAAAAAATCTTATTCAATAGCAGTTTTCTGAGAATGTACATATAAAAAAGGCATTGCCTGAAAAATATTATATTACGCCCTAAAACTGCTATGAATAACTTCTTTTTCTGAAAGGTTATACAAAAATGTCGATTTATAGTAAGACAAGTGTCAATGCAATGTGGTAATCTGTTAATTTCCTTCCAGAATTGTAAAATAGGAAAATGCTTCTGATCAATGTTGAAGTATTGTTAGTTGAATAGGGGATCATAACTGATGCCTTTTTTAGGGCTTCAATACTGAAATTTTAGAAATCTTAAGACTCAAAAAAGTGATTTTTGGCACATTTTTATTTTAAAATGAGACAGACACAACACTGCAATAATCTAAAACCAACGAATTGAAACTGTCAGTGGTATTACCAGACTTTGCTAAATGGGGCATGGAACCATGTATCATTCTATAAGCGAAGTTCCAACCTTGACTATCAGTAGTACCTCTTCCACCTCAATAATCAGGTGTTGTTATTTCTAAAGACAATGTAACATGTTTTTTAACCTTTATCTCTATTTCTTCAAGAATCTATTTTTACAATTGGGTCAGCCCACTGATATTTAAATCAATAAATAACATTAAATTATACTTACTTTAACAGTACTTGGTGTAGAACTAGATGTAGATGGACTAACATCATTTTTTCCAGACATATAATTCTTCAAACTGCTGAATACAGATTTAATTCCATTTATATGTTTTTGAGAAAACCGTAATGTAGCGTTGATTTCATCCAGCTGCTTATCAGTTTTCTCTAATTTTTCTCTCTGTCGCATCAATTCTTCTGCAGTAGCTATGCCTATTTGCTCAGATTCTCTCAATATGTTTATGCTTTTATCAGTGCTGCTGATAGTTCGTTCTTCTATGGCCTTTTTCTTTTCAGCGAACGACTGCATTTGTTCATCTAAAGTGGGTTGCATGTTCATACTGGACGTTGATCGTCTAGAATTTCTGAGGAATAGTTCATCGTCGATGTCGTCCTCTTCGAAGGGGTTTGTAGATTTTATGTATCGATGATTATTCATTTTGAATTGAGCACAATACACTCGCACACTATGTGGTTGATGAGACAAAGAAGATATGGAAAATTAAAAAAATATAATTTATCTGTAATCACTTTGACACTTGTGCCCCCTTTCCATTCAAAACAAAACATATATGACAAAACGCCAAGAAACGTCAATAACAAACAGGACGTAGTTGAAACGCCACGCCTCCTTCTCTCCTAGACCACAGCGTAGTCGAATAAATTGGGACTTGGACTCGTATTAACTGAGATTAGACGCACACGATAGTGATAGGACTGTCGAATAGCCGAAGAGTAGTCGCAGTAAGTGATACAGTATGCCGGCGCTGCCAAATTGTTTTCTAAATACATGTATATGCTTACAACTCAAATGTTACGTACCTTTGTACCTATATTCTGTCACACACGTCGGTTTGACCTGTACCATCACAGAACACCCAGGCTATACAGCAAAACAACACATCTGATGGAATATAAGAGAAAATAGACAGTAAACAATTATGCCATAGGTGCTCTATGAAAATGAATAACAATTCGGCAGAATTGTGAAATAGGATACAACGACCGTTTTGTGTCAATGTTATCAGGGACCAGCTGTGATTCTTAGCATTTTGACTCGGATTTTACATTTCCTGCATTGATGCAGCTACTTTTCTAGTTTTCAGTGTTCATGTTCGGAAAACGTATCGTTTTGGCAATCACAAATAAAAAAATCCTGTGCATGTTAATGTTAGCGCTTTCTCTAGAATTCGAATAAATGATTTATATGATGTATGACTTATAAATTATACTTGACGTATGTGGTATTTGTGTTTGCTAGACCTCTGTAAAAGTAGGTCTGTAATACACGGCAGGGGTATTACGTAACTTGAAAAGTGACACTGTCTGTTTTTTTTGACATTTTGTAGGTTTTTCATGACATTAGGTTTTCCAACAAGGCGTTAACTGGATAGGAATGATTTGCACACTAGCCTGCGATTTTCACATTATAATTGTGGCTAACTAAGTGCTTGGCTATATTCAGAGTGTAAGTATACCCACTGACAAGAAAAATATTACAATTTGAATCAGCTTAGAAGACGAACTGGCAATACTGCTAAACTCAGACGTATGGCAGACAGCGAGTAAGCATCGAACATCAAAAGTTCAGCCCACACAAATGTCAGCTGCTTGACTGATAATTGACATTGACAAGTGAAACGTCAAGCAGGCGTCCTGGTTATGTTTACGTTTTTCATCTGAAAATAAATAATTTTCTTAAAATATCCGAAGCATCCTCAAATTTTACGGTATTATTCCACTGTGATCAACAAAAGTTTTCTCCAATATGTCGATCGGTGTACCAATTAAAGTGCTGCACGAAGCAGAGGGTCATATTGTAACCTGTGAAACCATAACCGGCGAAGTTTACCGGGGAAAACTCATAGAAGCAGAGGATAATATGAATTGCCAAATGACACAAATCACTGTAACTTACAGAGACGGCAGAGTAGCCCAACTAGAAAACGTTTACATCAGAGGTTCAAAAATTAGATTCTTAATATTGCCAGATATGTTGAAAAATGCACCTATGTTTAAGAAACAGACTAAAGCGGGAACTGCTGGTAGAGGGAAGTCTGCGATACTTCGAGCTCAAGGTAAACAGTTTTCCAATGCATCCGTTATTATAGAAAGAAATCTGCTATTTGCATACTTTAATTTTTTGCTCAAATAAGGAATACCAATCATGAAAATATATTTTTTTTTTAGCTCGTGGTAGAGGAAGAGGACAACCTCCACCTATGAGAGGTAGAGGTGGACCATGGCAGAATCAACAAGGTGGTTCAGCAGGTCGAGGCAGATAATTTGCTTAGCAGTATGGTGTATGCTTTGTGTGTGAAAGTACTTGCAGTGTTTACTAAAAAAATCTTGGTTAGTATGTAAGAGTTGTGTAATGTAAAAACTCTTGAGAATTCCTGATTAATTGGACTTAATTCTATGAATAAAAAACTTTGTTTATAGTTATTTTATAATTTAAAACCTGAATGTATAGCCACAACACCTAAAGTTAAATTCTCATATGATACTTGTCTAAATCCTGCTTCTTCAATCATCTGCTTGAAGCTCTCCTAAAAAAAGTATTAAGTATAAAGTTAACTATAAGAATAATGACCTAATCCATATTTTTGATGTTATGTAGCATCTATATAGTTGAGGCAAGTTAAACTTGTAGAGCTGTATTTACCTGATTAGGAAACTGTCTAATACTTTCTACCAAATACTGATAGGCTTTCCATTCCCCTGCAATCAGTTGTCCCAAAACTGGGATAACTTGAAAACTGTATTGATCATATGCCCTGAAAATGGATATGTTTAATATGAAAATTGTGTAGCTGGTCAACACTTACCACTGAGCTGCAGAATTTTCTAAATGACTAAACTCTAAACACATAAACCTTCCACCAGGCTGTAATACTCTGTAAGCTTCCTCTAAAACCTTGTCTATGTGGGTACAATTCCTAATTCCAAAAGCAATTGTATATGCATTGAAAGAGTTTTCTTTAAAAGGCAATTGTTCTGCATTTCCTTCTTGCCAAGATATCAGACTAGGTTCATGTTTCAAGTTGAAACTTCTTATTTTACCTACTTCTAGCATATTTGCATTTATATCTGTTACTGTAACATGACAGTCATTGAGGTTTTCAGTTTTTACATAATCTATGAACCGAAATGCTATATCACCTAAAAAATTAAATTTGCTATATATAAAAAAAGGGAGAATGTATGGAGATGAAAGCATGCCAGATATCAGTGGGACATTGCATTAATTCAATGGTTGCTTAAAGTCTTGCAAAGCTTCAATAGACCATTATCCACTATGTAGATGTATGTACTATTATCTAGACAGATGTTCTGTTTGATACTTGAAGCACTTGATTGTAGAAATGGATAGACAAGTTTTTGTGCTTAATATACCTGTGCCACCTGCAACATCCAACAGTTTTGTATTATGTGTTGGAGATAATGAACACATGAAATAATCTTTCCAAATTCGATGGATACCTAGGGACATAGCATCGTTCATTACGTCGTAGTCTTTTGCAACATTTTCGAAAACTTCGTGCACTGTAAGAAACATTTATGAATATATTTCAGCAATAATATGCTCAGCTTCGTACCTTTATGTTGTTTTTCGCTTTCTTTAACTTTTTCAAATCCAAAGTGTGTTTCTCTTTCATCATTATTTACCTTTTCATTTTGAGTTGAAAGATTTTTGATATGCCCTGCAAGTATTTTTGGTATTTTCTTACGGAATAATACCTTGGTTAAAAGGGACATTTTTTAAGAATCTCAAATTAAATTCAGGTTATGTTTATATGTAGTTCTTTGGCAATAAGTAATATGTACATATGTAGTGCTGGTTGCGTACACCTTGTCACCACTTCGATGCTATTGATGGTCAATTACAGAAAGAGGCGGGCCCACATAGGGCAGTGGCGTACCTTCCGGGCTGTGGTGCAAGGGATTCCGAAAATTTTCTGCTTTTTTTTCGCAACCATGACTGTTTATTATATTTTTCACTATGTCTATTTTTTTCTAATGCTGTTTTTCCTGCATAACATTTCTAGCTGAAGCTGTGACGTGTTTTTTCCATGCCCAAACTTTAACAGAATATGATAATTTTTTTCAGGTAAATTTTAAATCCTTTTTTCTTATTGAGAAATGAACGTAAGCAATTTGTTTCAGCTATTAAAAATACAATTTTGAATTCTACGCCTTCTGGTCAAACTGGAAGCAGCCAGTTTAAAATTTTAAGACTTATTACGGAATTCAATGTTTCGTGTGTCATCCTTCTTAAATCATTCCTAACAGCGAGCAGCGATGATACTGAAAAGTGCCTGCTGAAGATTGAAGTTCACTTATGTCCTTTGTATGACCTTGTGTTCTTCATTTCATGAACTGGCTGGTATCAATAAAAAAACTATTCTTGGCGCCAACATTTTGTTTCTTTGGTACCAATGAAAGTTTATTAATGGAATCATTTTTGAGTTCAATTTTTATTTCCCACCCCTAATGGCGGGGAAGTATTGTAATCGCGAAAATTTTCGTCACTCATTTCCGTAGATCTGACTTCCCGCTAATCCTATAACCGCCTATATCTTGAAAAGTACCGCTCGGATTTTTATGAAATTTTTATACTACTATGCCAACGAGGAAAAAGCTGTTGTTTTTGAAAATCGGTACAGTGGTGGCGGAGAAAAAGACCAAGACAAAAAAAATAAAAACCGCTCAATTATTTTTTGACGTTACAGAGAGTCATGATCATTTTAGAGCTAAAAGTTTGGAGGGGGGGGGGGGGTTGTAGGAAGGTCGAGAGGGTATATCTCAATTACCTACCGGCCACGTCTTATTCTCTTCTCCCCGCGGCGTGCCGCCGGCATTGGTGAGTCTTCTGGTGTTACACGTATTAATGCCGCGTTTCAGCATAGTGTTTCCTAAGCTTTGGCCCGCTGCTACGTCTGACCGGGCTACGTATCGGGGAGGGGGGACGTTGCCAGAGGAACTACCGGTAGGGCAGGTCTAATTGTGTAGACCTATTTGACTGACTTTTTTCTCAGAGGGTCCAGTTTATGCTGAACATAATCCTATATGAACTGATAACAGCGTTGCGTGAGAAGTGCAGAATCAACCTACTTGGCGCCATTTTTTCTAGTTCAAGTTTTTCGACAGGCTTTACTAGCATGTATCTGATGGCCTCTGCACACTTGATTGTTATTAGGGAGGATTGTGGTAGATTAAGAAAGCGATGAATAAGTCATCTGAATATCGTAATGAGTTAGTTCTAAGGAGGCTACAGACACAACTGCAAGATTGTCCAGCATGCTTATTTAATCTTTTAGGGCCGTGTGGTCAGGTGTTTCTACAATTGTATGGCCTCGTTGATTTCCACAGTACCTTTGTCTCCTTCAGAATCGCTGGGGTATTTCTAGATTTCTACTGTTCCGTGTCAGCGTCAGCGCTGTCCTATTGTGAGGTTATGTTTTGTGAGAATTTAAAAAGAAATATAACCTCAAAATGAAGCGCAGACACGAAAATAATCTAGAAATACCCGTACCTTTCTGAAAGATAGGAAAAGCTATTAAAATCAAGGAGGCCATAAAGGGGTCCTACAATAATTGTACGAACGACTGACGATACGGCGCTTAGAGTTTTGTGCGAACGATACCACTCTAAGAACTGAATATTTCGTCCACCATCTAGAGCTGGGTCAGTCATGAAATAGTCGTTCCGAAAGAACAATGCCCCAGTCGGAATCGAAAAAATCGATTCCTATGGTTTCGAAGGCATCGATTCCGGTGGTTTCGATTCTAGTGGTATCGACTCCGATTCCGATAATTTCGATTCCGAGTAAGCTGGTTTTGAAAAAATCGATACAGTTCGGATTCAAATATTGCTGCCATTGCAATAAAATCGCACAGAGGCTTTTGATCGCAGCGGCTCCAAATGAGGAACGATTTAAAAGATAATTTGGTATGGAGTAATGAAGTATACGTAACGATAGTTGCGATTTAAGGTTTAATTTTATACTTTTAATGAAGAAATATAAACCGAAATAGTAGGTACTTATACGAATGCAAAATTTTCGATTTTGAAATGTTAGAGGCAGTTTTCAATCATACAACTATGAATTAAGGCTTAAAAACGGATTTTCCCAACCTTCCCAGCCGAGAAACTGGCTCTTATTTCCAGTTTTGGAAAATATTCTTTCTCAATGAACTGAACTTCCAACGACACAAAAGATCTCCTTCATTAATAAGATATGGGTAATGAATCATCATCAACTTAAACACACGTATATATTTAAAACATACATACATCGATGCTCAAGCTATGACAATCTCGCACTAAAATTCCTGTAAGAAGTCGGAATCAGAGGAAACTGGAGTCAAAATGAATTGGAATGGAAAGCAATCGGAATCGTGTACGAATCGAAGGAACCGATTTCGGCTTTGAATGGAATCAAATTACGGAAAAGAACATTTGGCCCAGTACCACCATTATCATAGAAGTGACAATCTGCCAATCAGAGGGAATACCAATCAGAAGTGGCGGAAGACATTTCGTGGTGGACGGTTATGAGATCTTAGACCAATCAACTTTCGCACACGCAACACAGCTTCAATGAATCACCTTATTTTCCAACAAATTTCCCTACCAACATTCCGCGGTTTCTAACAGTCACGACGACGCTTTAACCGCAGGAACAGAACATCTGATTTTATGGGGTATATAAAAGACGAGGATTTATCGCCTGCAGCTTCCGTAAGTGCCATTGATGAAGCTCTAAAAGCAGCCAGCGTACAAAACACCGAAGGCCTCGAATGATGGGGCTGTGCAGCAATAAAAACCAATAAAAACAATAAAATCTACTGGTCCGATTCCAGCAAATTGCAATTTACTGTGGGTCTTGCCTTCGAGCCGGTTGAAACGTTGTAGACGGCTCCTTGCAATGGCATCGCCACTCTTGAATTGAGTTATACGGATTTCGTTTAATTGCATCTTACTTGCAAATGGGCCCTTCTGTGCCGCGTATGTTTGTTATTGTGTGCACGAGAGAACTCGATACTTTTATTGAGTTCTCTCGCGTTAAATATATCGGGTCGACCATTATTGTGGTGGTTTGCTATATGAGAAAGTCAATTTTGAGCTTTCCAGCTATCTGTTGCCTAGCATTTGGAAAGCAGCGATGGCCGCAGTGGTAGACTCTTCGGTCTCCTGATCAGTCGCCGTGCGCTGTATGGGTTCGAATCCCGTCCCAAGAGAAATCCTTCTCTTGGCTATGGATGTTGTGATTGTCCGCAGGTGGTCGACGGTCTCTGACTGTCGAACGCGGAAGTACCACGCGGCGGATCTCGTAGGCAGGGCCAGAATGTGAGCATGTTGCATGCACACGTGTTCCCTCGGCAGAGTCCGTTTGGCATTCCCCCTTTCCCCTGTATCCCCCTATAGCCCACGGCACCCGATGGGTGTTTAGGCCGTTGTGGTAGTTGGAGTATAAAAAAAATTAATGAAGGTCAGAAGTGGATCAAAAAGCAGTTCAATCACATTCATGACTTTCACGCTCACACTTCCGAAATCTCAGTGCAGCTCACTCTTATCCAGGGCATTGGACTGTGTTGATTATAAGATGCTTTTGAAAATATCTGGATATGGGAAACGTGGAGCTGCCTATTGTCGGATAGAGGAGTTGTTTTTATCTGGTAGGTCTCAATATGCGTCTATCACTTAACGTGCTGAATCTACTATACTCGAGATGGATATGGGTGAACCGCAAGGCTCTGTTTTTGGACCTGTTTTATTAACATTATATGTGAATGATATTGAAAACTGTTTTCCAGGTGCATTCAATCAGTATGCTGATGATACATCCACCACTATGTCTAGTGCTTGTGAAACAACGGTTTCAAATAGGTGTAGATACTAATTTGTTAGACAAAATTTATTATTGGTTTTAGTTAAATCAGCTTCATTTAAATTCAGACAAACATTAATTCTGCGATTTTATATCGGACAAAAAAACGTCATTGGAACTAAAACTGAAAGATACTCCGATGCAGATCAGTCATAATACAACATTTCTGGGCTTATGTATTGATGAACACCTTAAATTCAAAAACCATTGTGACTATTTATCAACGAAGCTAAACAGTAAGTCCTATTTATTTAAAAACTCAAGTACTATTCTAATTGCTTATATTAGATTACGCCCAGGTAGAGTCACGGCTGAGGTAAGAAGTGTGTTTCTGGGCATATTCTACAGACGCACAGAAACCATTTTTAAACCAGAAAAGAAGAATACGGTGCATAGCTGGAGTAACCCTTCGTACTAGCTCTAAGGACATTTTTAGGAAATATCAAATTTGAACACTGCACATCATTTTTGATTTTATAACTGTGTGTATTATATTTTGAAATAGAAAACGTTTTCGGCTTAACAGTGATATGGATACCATTAATACCCGGCAAAAAAACAAGATCCATGTTCCACATTCTAAATGTGATATTAGTAGTAAATCGTCGAATAATTTAGGCCCAAAAGTTTTTAACATGTCATCTGTAAGTGCCAAGTGCTGTGATAATTTGAGTCTTTTAGAGCAGAGCTGAAGCGGCTTTTACAGAACCAATATTTTTATACCGTGTCTGGATTTGTTTGTAAATAGTTGTATGTTTGCATTTTATTTATATCCTATATTGCATTTTATGTACGTTTTTCTTTAACAATTCCGATACACAATTTATGTGTCAAAAGGAAAATAAAGAATTTGAATCTTAGATACCGTGTGTATTTTTTTTAATTATTGCTCCTGTTTGGACCTGGCTTGGTTTGAACCACAAAATAA